CAATAGTGTAGAATGTTTGTGCACCTCCTATTAAATACCAGAAAGTGTTAGTTACTGCTTTTTATTAGCGTGAGCATAGTTTTCAACAATTTTAAAGCAAGCAAAAAACCTCAAAATATAACTCAACTGTTTCTGAAACTGTTAATGTATGTACCATATCTGGGTATGTCCATATTCTGATCTTTCGCAAGTGTATGATATTGTAATTACTTAGCTACAACATTAAAAAGAAGAACATTATTTATATATACATTTTGTGTCCCCATGCCAACATCTGACCTTTACTGTGGATGATCTCACTCAACAACAATTGGCTTGAAAATAATTTGTACAGATACCAAAAATCAAATCTGAAAAAGGTACAAGACCTTCAGCTGGACTATTTTTCTGCACGCTGAAAAGAATTCATCTGCTTACTTATATTTACGTATTACAATTATTTTGGCCTTTTAAATAAGGTCTCTGCCTGTAAGTTCATAAATGGTGGGTCTGTACCTTGTTTCACATTCACACACTTATCAAAAAAAGTTTTAGGAAAATCAGTACAAAGGACTTCAAACTGTCACTAGGGTCTGTCAACATAGAATTTATAGTTTATCTCAGCCCAAGCAGTTGTATGCACAAATAGTTCCTCCTCCTGCCTGCAGTGCTATTGGATACATTGCTTTTCATATTCCACCTCAGCCAGTAAGTCTATAGGGAACAAAGAACAAATATATTACCTATCACAGGTGACAGGGATGCTAAGCAGCTAGCCTCCCATTAGGTTATTGGCTAAAGGAACGGAATAAAGAGCAGACGCAGCTATGCAGAGGCAGCCTATATTTAGGGACCCATCTTCTTTACATTGTTTGCACAGATTTTATGTTTTACGAGGAATTATAGTGCCCAGTACATGCTTTACCTAGTATTCTCAACTGGGATCTCCAGCAGTTACAAAATAAAATCACCAATCTACAAGAGGCCAGAGATTTCTGCCTGTTTAACTCATCCAGCCTTTAGCAGCCATAGTTTGTGTATGCTGGGTACTTCTGTAATCCTGCACACAAGAATGACAAAAAGGCTTCAGAGTCTATACCAAAAAATAAAGCAGACAAAAGCAAGCTCCTTGTTTTTAACGGAGTTATCCGGCTTGTTAAAAATTATTCCCCCCACCCCAATGTCACTGACTAAAACAACAAAAAATGTGGAGCATGCTATTGTGACATGAACTCAAATTCAAAAAGTTTCTCACAAATTAGTTTGTCTACTCCAGGATAAGAACACAAACTTGCTTTCCGTGAAACATTTAAATATTCCCCCCTCTGAGAAGGGCTGTCCTTCGTTTCCATCAAATAATATTGCAAACATGAAAAGCAGCAGAAACGTTCATTTCTAAACAAGTTCCTAAGAACAGACAGAAAACAAATTATGCTGAACGTGGCAATGCCTTGTAATAATTTAGCACATAGTTTCTCAAATAAAAATTTAAAAATTTTTTCACTCCAATTACGAATAGCCTCTGCAGATTATCTTAGCAGAATAAAGAGCAAGTATTCAGACAGTAAACTCCTTTTAGTCTTGTAAGTATTAGGAGTTTGATTTGTTAGAATTGTCTTTATTTATCCATATAATACATTGGAAATGTATTAATTTGCCATCTCCAAACTGGCACAAAACATACTAATTTCCACTTTAAAATGCGGATCATGGAAAAAAGTAATCATGACATTTCCCAGAACAGTATCTGCCCAGAATTAATTTAATACTGCAATTTTACAAGAACAAACAGATGTCAGAAACCTGTGACACAGATTAATTTGCAATTTAGGCCAACATGTTATCATTAACTTTCCAAGTTAACAACTCCCCTACCTAACTCACATACACACCAAAAAAAAAAAAAAAAATCCAATATCCAGAATTTTGGATAAGTTCAGTTTAATTTTTTAATTTCATTTCTGAAGATTCCCTATAGGCTTATAATCCCACATCAATATAACTGAATGTAACATATTTTTTAAAACTGAGAAATTAAATCTTAATATGTAAACAGTTGAAGATGTAGATAAAGCACGTTAAAATAAAGCATTTTCAAGTACTATCCAAAAATCTAACTATCAAATTAATATGCAAGAAATTGTGGAAGCAGACATAAGCACTACAGCTTCAGGCTTCTCTCGAAGAATTTTCTGTCAGATTGTTTCTTCATTAAACAGCAGGATTTCTTTGAACAATTCATCCAAATATCATTTACTATTAAACATGCATTCTATACAATAAAAAAAAAAAGACAACAGAGAACTGAAGTGACAGTAGTTCAGGAAAAGCACAGCCAAGAGCTCACTGGATTTTGCATTTAATCCATTACAAAATATTTATGTCGGTTTTGAAAGGGTGGTGGGGTTAGGTTTTTGGTGTGCTGGGTTGTTTGGGGTTTTTTGAGACACTTGCAAAAAATATCTATTCCTTAAAATTCACAGCACTAATAACAACAAACTAAACAACTAGCCCTGGAGAGACAGTTGCACCCAACTGTGGCAAGCAGTAGAGCATTTATAGAATTTTAAATATTTCTTTTAATAATTGATGTAGTCATTTTGAATCTTTCTGCATAGGATATAACGTGTGAGTAGATTGCATTAACACTGCTTAAACATTTCAACTTGTCAGTATGGCCAAGTCGATTTCTGAAATATTTGCAGTATTTTCCCATCGAAACAGTAATAAAGGTAGAATAAATATATGCCACTGCTTTATAATCACTGAACATTAATGAATATTTTATGTCTTTTTAAATCTCCCTGTTTAATTTAAAAGGGTGAAATTAAGTCTCCTCCCTGCAATATGCCAATTATCTGTAAATCAAACAATAACTTGGCCATTATACTCCTTTTTGTTAATATACCAGAAGCTAATTTGAAAACACTGAACGGCATTTTTGGGTAATAATTGAATAGTCCTTCCTGCCCTCTTGTGGTTGGCAACCGCAACTCGCATAGAGCTTTTCCACGATTATAAAAATATACCAGAAGGAAAGTAAACTATTAATTTGTTAAAGTGTGAATAAGAGAGTGAAGGGGAAAAAAAATTAAAATCTAACAGCCCCTGGAGAGGAGAGAGACAAAGGAGAGAAGGAAAGATATCACCAATTCCTCCAAATCGCACAGAGTAACCAGATTCATCAATCATCTGTTACAATGCTCACTCTACGCTAAAAGAAAAAAAAAATTAAATTAAAAAGCCATTAGGGAGTTAACACACAAAACAGTGCTTGTTTTCTATAATTAGGCAAATGTTCGTCAGCCTTTCTACCTCAGCCAAATCCCCAGTGGTTTCCACGAGACTTTGCAGAGACAGACATATTCACCTGTTCAGCATCAGCTGCACAAGAAGGTCCGAAGTTCTCTTTTTATTTTAGCCCCTGAAATTGGCTTCATAATTTTATACATACTATTGGATGTAATACTGAGATACAAGACAGAAACACAAAGAAAGGTTTGATGCTCATAATGGTTATGGAATGGTCAGGGGCTTTTGAATTTTGGCTGTTCAATGGGGAAAATAACAACTGACTTTTAAATTATGTCGACTTCATATGTTAACACGTTGACTGTAACCTGCCATTGCCAACAAACAAGAAAACTTCAGTGCGTGTAAAGACAGCCTAGATCCCCACGGACTGTCATAGCTTTCTGGTTCCTTTAAGACAGGTAAGACCCACCAGCAAGTAGTAATTGATATAGCATAGATTGGAAAAAAAAAAAAAAAAAAAAAAGACGACAATATCTAGGTATGTGTTTTCTTTTAGAATCTCATAGCTTTAAAATTAAAAACAAATATTCTGATCATTTATTTCCATAAAGATTCAAATTATTTTTAATTGCAAAGAGTCAAAGCTCAGCCCCTCAAAAAACAAACTGATGCAAATATGTGTAGTTTTATTTTTTAATATAAACAAACACACCAGAACTTACTATAATAGGTTTCAAAAGGGGAAGTAGAAAACAGGCTTTCACACGGGGGAAAGATCAGAATTTAGATCTTAAGAATAACAAGATTCTGATCATTAAGTGAAAACAGTTAATGATCATTTTTCATTGTAGTACGAGATATTGCTCCTACAGCTAATATTACAGAACTTAAAATCATTCTGTCTGCAATGTCAGCATGTGACATGAAAAACTTCAATAAAATCTGTTCAACCCTAAAAGACTGAGAGAAGTGTCAGACCAATAGCAAACATACATTTAATTTGAAAAGCAAACATTTAATCTTAATATTTTGTAATGTGAATTCTGAAGATTCACATTTCTAGATTGTCATGTTTCCAGAAGTTAGTGGGTTATATGGAAAATAACATCCAAAACATCTGGCATTAGACATACCACAGAGCACGAGACAACAACCTTTGGCTTTAGAAAGGAGTTTTAAAAATCTGCAAGGACTGTTTTTTCTAAATTCAGAGAGCCCAGAGTCACAGTAGAGGTATTTCTTCCTATAGGACTTCATTCTGACGAAGTTCTCTACAATATCACCCCTTGCTGGCCATTCTACAGAACGGCAGTGATGTCCATTATACACAAAACCATTTGGCTATCAAGCCAGTAAGAATTACAGCGTTAAGATAGCAACAAGCAATGGTAGAGATGCCTAGAAAATGGAGATGGAGCTCATTAAAAGAAGGGAAGACAGAGGTAGCTTCGAAGGGCTTAAAGATAAAATGTAATTTGAATAACTGCCTTTCCTCATCACTCTAGAATAACTCAATAAACATTGTTTGTATATTTTGCTACTACAATGCAAAACCAAACATCTTTTCTGTATAATTTAATGGAAAACCTTTTTTGGGCCAAATTCTTTAATCAAATTACAGCAATCTTGATGATCCAGTTGATTAAACCAAAAAAAGACTAATAAAATAAAGGAATATCCATCAAGACCATCTAAACCCTCTTTAACAGAGCTGGCATTAGCTGTAATGAGCTACATTTATTCTTCAGCTGTGAAACAGCACTCACCTCCTGAATGGTACTGCTTCCTGAGAAGTTGAGGTTGTACTCCCGCTGGACTTCTCGATGGGTGACGATCAGCATGAAGTTTTGATTTAATGACTCCTGCAGGGCCCTGAAATGGTTGAAAGAAAAACAAGAAAATCAGGGATAAGCATGTTATAGCTTGTTTTACAGTTAGATGCAAAAACCCCAGGGTACCCTAAACTCTACATGGACAAGTCCAGGCACAACATTATCATCTCTCTTTTCACTCTTAAATGCAAGGAAGCATGCTGAGAATGACCAAAGGCCATTCCTGAACTCCTTCCTTAATAAGGTGACTGCAGCCTTTAAAGCTCTTCTAATGTTAAGTATTCTCAAAATCAAGAGAATCACATTATCTTCACAAACATGGGGTATATTTAGCACTCATAATGCCATTAATACCAGGCTTGTAAGCATACTGATGACCAGACAAACTATCAAGCTACAATGCACATTAAAAACTGATGGTAAGTAGAACAAGGCAAAGCATGCTCTCGCTTCTCTAGGGTTACCTGAAGCATAAACCAAACGGAAATTCTTCCGCTTAGTTTCATTCAAAGCACATAAACTCAGCTAATTAGAACTGGAAAACTAACCACAGCAAAATTTCTCATGTGGGTATTCAGCATTTAGAAAAGTTAGTTCTGCTCAAATTTTTTTAAATGTACATTAAAACATCTTTAATCATATGAATTAAAAAAATAAATCTTAAGATACAGATTAAACAGGCCAACTATACGTTTATGTTGTCAAAAACTTGAGGGTTTTTTGTGATTTTCCTGGTAACAAAACATCTGGATGTTAAAAAGGCATCCTGCTTGTTTAATTAGGAACAAAATTATGCAGCTATCTACTTTTCAAAATAGAAGGCAGGACTTCCATTACAGACACAGCAATTATAGCTCTGTACAACCTTATATAGGTTACAAAACTGCAGCAACATTGTAACATAGCTTGGATTTCTAAACAATATTTATGCAGACTTGAGCTGTTCAGTGGCATATGGAATTAAATTGGGTTTATTCAATTCTTTTTTTTTTTTTTTTTCCTTATCACATACTCTTAAAAGAATGACAGACTGGGTTTTTTCCTTCACATCTTCACTGTTCCGTGACACTTCAACATGCCATTTGTCTTAGCAATAAAGGACAAATTCTGTATGTAGATGAGCACAGCTGTATCTTAAGATACAAGAAGACAAGAAAGACTGCTAGATTATTTGAGCCTGATTTGTTAGTTTTTCCTTCTACTCAAATTACTGAGCTGCAGTTTTGCTGCTCCGATGCTGAGGAACCCATGCAATACTCACTGGATGCTTTAGCAAGAGATGCACAATTTGCTTTAACATCTCAAGAAAAATTACCTTACAAAAAATATCTTCACTCAGCAACTTAATTTGGATTCTGTGACATCTTAAACATAATAATCACATACTACAAAACAAAATCACGAAGTGCTATTTCTCATCTTTTATGGTTTTGCAATATGGAAGATAAATTTAACTCATTGTCCATGTTAAGTATGATCAAGTGTGTGAGAGACTACAAATGTGACTGAAGTCATCTATGCTGAACATGAAGTTAGCTGCACTTGCAGAAAACCTTTTAAGAAAAGGCCTAAAAAATTTAAAATACTTAACAGTCCTTCAAAAGAAAAGGAAAAAAAAAAGAGAAAAAAGAAGAAAAAGGGGGGGGGGACACAATGGACGACAAAAAAGAGTCCTGAAAAGCTGTGTGCCTATTTTCAAAGGTAGTTCTAATTTGATTGTTAACAATAAGTTCAGCATCGCCGTAACCATGTTTTCTTTTGGCAAATGTTCAGTAGCAACTAACATATCCTGCTGTGCTTTTTCAGATTCTGATTTTTTTATTTGTTTTCAGCAAATATTGGAGGCGAATGACATATTTAATTGCTCTGAAAACATTAATTACAGCATATGTGAATGGCTCTGGATTCCATACAGAATCACACAAGGTTCTGTTATAGCTATTTTTGACTCCATCTGAAAATCTGTAGATGCTAACCAATAACGTGACTCACGTTTTTCATTCTGTAATTGATGGAAACATAGAATGAAACAGGCTAGTTTGATCAAACCCTCAGTCTCTCAAGTTATGCACGACACACACATTTCAGTACTATCCAAAATACAGCATGCTAATAAAAAGAATCTGTTCACAGGAAAGGTTTTCCACTTCTCTATTTCATCTGGATGTGATAGAATTTAGAAAAGGAAAAAATACTCTTCAAACACAGTTAATTTAAATGAAATGCCTTAAAATTAAAAGCCTCAATTTTTGAAGTAACTAATAATTTTGGCACCTCTACTTTTTGGATTTCTAAACACCACAAGCTGAATGTTGTTAACAAGCAAATTCTCAGTACATATTCACCAAATACAATCAAAGAGGAGACTGAAAATTTAGCTGCCTTAAAAAAAAAAAAAAACCCTGAAAAAATTGAGGAAAAAAATCAGTTTTGAAATTTTTAGCAATTAAAGTGCATGGTTATTCATTCACCTTTTCTTCAGAAAAATAATATCATGAGGAATATTACTTCTGCTTACACAGAAATGCAGTGGTCAATTGACCCAATCCTTTGAGCTCCTATATCAAAATTTCGTATGGTCTGACAGCCATAAGACCCGGACCATTTAAGTTAGAAAGGCAATGGGAGGAGGAATGGATGGCACATCTGAAGGGCAGTTTATGCCAATGACAGCCTAGACGTACCAACGCTCCTCTGCAGGATGGCGTTGATTTGAACACACAGGTGAACTGCCAGCGATGTCAGTCCGCTCCCATATTAATTTTCTCCAACAACTAGGGATGTAGATTACCCCAAATTATTTGTGGGAACAGAACTGCATCCAAAACATACCTTGCCTAAAATTGTATTTTCAGCCATTAAGGCTATGATCAAATATATAAAATAAGCATATTTAGATGAGACTTCTCATTGACAGTAAGCTGAAGCTTACTTTTATTTCTTTTTAGGTGCACATAACTATATTGAGAAGACTGACTTTGAACACAATGCACATTTCTAAAATTTTGGCTTCAGTGTTTGCAGCAGTTTCATTTTCCTGCCAATGTTATCAGTTGACTACAATCTTCCAAATGAAACATCTGCATTAAAAGAAAGAAAAAAAAATAATCAGGGCCAAACCCCAGGCTCCGTTAAAGTCAAGACAGATTTTCTTTTTTCTTTTCTTTTTTTTTTTTTTGCCATCAGTGTTAACAGAATTTAATTAATCTGAGAATTAATCAGTGGGGGAAAAAAGAAAAAAAAAAAACCAAACCAAATTCTAGAAACAGGACTAAAGTAGGCCACTCTTATCAGCACCATTTCTCCCCTACTGTAAAACCTAGCTTTCCAAAGCATTTGCTGATAGGTTATATACTGCCATTACATTTGTGTTTCCTCAGCTGAATGTTTGTACATTTGCTATTCAGCACAGGAGGCAAGGGAACTCGATGGTATTTTGGGGCACCAATCTTCCATTAGCGGAACTCTGCCTACACCCACAAAAGACATCCAAGAACAGACAAAAGAAAATAGACCTGCGCACAATCCTCACTCTGACCAGTTCTAGCAAGAGAGACTGAGACTAGTTTAGGATTTCATATGGATTGCCTATATAGCATTGGATAGCAGCATTATCACAATGTACAGAAACCTCAGTGGCGGACCAGGATTCAACTGGGGTTGAAACTCTAGAACATGCAAACAAAAATGTTCCTCTTCGAAACTTAAATTTCAATGGAAGTTGCAAGATTTTTTTTTTTTTTTCCCCCTACTAAACTCAAAATATCAAAAGTCAATTAAGAGTCTGGAAAGAGTTTATTCACTAGCTACTCCATCCAAATTCCAGTACAGCACAATTTATAAACCACAAATCTAATAAATTAAGAATAGAAACAATATTTAGCCAAAAATGTGTAACTGCTAATAATGCTAATCTTAGGGGACAGCAACTGTTCAATCAGTCTATGCAATGCTGAAGCAAGATGGTATTAAGTACTGATATTTATTAGATTTTAAGTTTCCAGTTTTACTGCTGTTCTATTGTTCTGTAACACTTAATACATACAATAGACTGGTTGTATCTGTTAAGTATCTTAATGCTTTGATCTTTGAGGTAATACTTTGCTTTTTAATAGCATTTTTCTTCAAAATTTTAGTAACATTTTAAGCTTTGAAACCAAAAGTATATCCTTAATCAATGATCAGCAAATGCTCCTTTTCATTTCAGTTCTGTAAGTTTTTATGAAATGCATTCAGTATTTTCCATTAGATAATATCTTTCTCAGGCACGTGGCAATTTCCCCCAAAAATCTCTGAATTTTATATAAATACGCATGACGCAAGGTAATTAACATTTCCATTTTAAACTTACAGATTTATACAAGCTCATGTCAACAGAAGTCCAAATTTACTGTAATTACAGATTATTTACATTAAAACAAAATAAGAAATCAGTATGTAAATGTAATGTTTGTTGTAGCTAATGCAGCAGGAGGTGGTAGATTAGGTTCAAACAGCAATCAGTTAGCAAATCTGGCTAACATGTAAATGAGCAGAAGCCCTTTTGTTTACATTCTATTGCATTTTAAACTTCAGGATTTTTAAACTGTCTCATGAGCAGATGTGAAAAAAAAACATTAATCTTACCATTCTTATTGAAGCTTTCAAAGTAACTAAAGCAAGGCACTGCTCCTGTCCAGCTAAACAGACAATACTAATAATTGGAGTTGCAGGTTACATCGTTCTTAATTAACACTCTGCTACAGTTGATAGCGTACAAGAAGACACCATGCCACAACCACCACTCCTCTGCAACAATCTAGCACACGCTCTCTCTGCAATATATGGACCCATTACTTCAAAGATGGGGCTTTTTATTCCTATCCACACAGATGATTATGTTTCTTCAATAAATTACAATTGCTTAGCAAAAAGACATTATTTGTAATAACTGCCAAGGTATGCACCTAGTCAAATAGCTTTTAACTGGTTTGAACCTTCCAGTGGTTCATCAGGTATAATAAAGTATCTAAGACTTTCAGCTATTTAGCAAAAAAAGTATAAATATAGAACACCTTATACCCATTAAAGCCACAACCGAATGGTTTGAACCTTCCAGTGGTTCATCAGGTATAATAAAGTATCTAAGACTTTCAGCTATTTAGCAAAAAAGTATAAATATAAAACACATTATACCCATTAAAGCGACAACCGAAGAAAAAAAATTGAGAAAAAGCGCCTCCCAGAACACGCAAGATAGAAAGGACACGATCAGGATGACCTAGCTCGGTGGGCAGACTCGCAAGCCTATGCTTTTGACGCTCCCCTCTACTGCATTCTCCAAAACTTCTTCCCTGAACTGGGCATTGCCGGCCTTCAAGAAGCACCCGAGGCAACAAAGGGAAGGAAAGTCACTCTGAGGAAGTGAAGAATCTAATCTGACAAAGCCAGTGCAAGGGATCTCTCCTCCGCTCGGACAATTAAATGATGGACATTCGTTGGCACCTTTCCTTTTAAGGCTGCTTTCCAAAGGAAATCATGTTTTTCTCACCCACCTGTCCCATCCCGTACCTTCTGAACATTATTCACTAGTTTCAAGGGGGTGTGACAGCATTATAAAGGTCTTAAAGACTGAGTGTAAATCAACAGCTGGGTAGAGGAAAGAGACCCAAATTACTACCCACCTTAGCAAAAGGCTGCAGTACAAGCATCATATTTTTATACTCCATCCAGCCAACTTCTAGCCAATGATTACAGAACTACCTACAGCATGCAATGCCTCCTTTCCTTCCATATTACTTGGCTACCAGCTGGAGAACACAGGCAGGGCAGGCTGACTGTCTATGCATGCAGGGGGAAAAAAATGGCATAGGTGCTACAAAATACACGAGAAGAACTGGAGGCAGTGTCAGAGGTAGGTAAGGTCACAGGAGGAGAGGGCCGAGTTACTGCAGCCTCTGGGATGAGGCAGGAATTCACTAGAAATCAGTCCACAGCTCGCAGAACATGTTATTGTTCTGGATATCGTGCACAGATAAGTATGGCTTTGCCAACTGAAACGGTGGAAGCAGGGTATGTAACCCTACAGGTGGTATTTGACATTTAAATTTAATCTTTACACCTCAATTTACTAGCATGCGGTAGTAATTGACTGAGTTTCTATTACCTATAAAAACTCTGGATATGCCACTGATGAACAAAGATACCCTAGGAGATTTTTCCTTGTTTAAACTGCAGGATGACTTTGCCATTACATTTAGATGCTAGTTTTAAGTCAGCTCTGGGTTAAGCCCATTTAGTCTGTCACAATAAACTTCAAAATGCCTACGTACCAATATGCTGGAAAAGGATGTTTCAGACACTGTTCTCCCTCAGTGTCAAGAACAGGCACAAACCGGAGTTTATAGAGCTGTGACCAGATTGCTCCTTTTAAGAAGGGCATATACATAAAATGTCACGTATTGAAATCTCAGGCTTTTCAAATATCACTTTCTGGAAATATTCAAATCACGACTATTTATCTCTAGTTCAAAATAGAAGGCATTTAAAGAAAACAACAGATGAACTCACAAAGTAAGAGGCAAAGATCTTTAACATCCATTAATAAAAGACGTGAGCATCATGCTTTTAAAAATTGTGGGTAACAAACTAATCTGAATAATAACTGACCTAACAGTAGGCAGTAAACAGTGTAACTGGGTTTGGTACATTGCTTCAATTAGATGTGTTTTGATCTGCATTGATGCTTTAATTGGAGGCAAGCCTCCCCTTTCATCTAGAATTTATGACTTCAGGGAGATGATCTAGTCTTCAAATTATCCTTGTTTAAGTAGCCACTAATTAATCATCGTTTGCAATCCCAAAGCTACCAACTTTATCTTAAAAATATCCAGAACTAATCTTCACTATGAAACAAGTGTAAACTGTAAAAGTAACAACCACTTTGATTTTACTAGGAAGTAAAGTTTTTTTAAACTATTCATCCAATTAAAAAGCCTAAGAACTGTTTTTAAACAGTTTGTTCTTATATAATTCATTGCAGTTGCAATAAACAACGTTCTTCAGACCTCCCTTTTCTTTCCAGGATCAAAGACATTCAAATTACAATATACAGTGATATCTGTAGAAAATTTTGAAATTGTACATTGATTTTTAAAAAGCAAAACAAAACAATTAGTATGTAGAGTGTTTTTCCACAATATTTTCATTGTCCTTCAATTAGCTGCTTAAATACAATGGCTTATTGTCCTCACACACAACTACAGCTCCTGTTTGCACATATAGAGCACATGCAGTTCACATACAGCTCACCACCGCCCTGCTCCCTCTGTTCCAGTGCCACTATTCCCTCTCTTAACACTTCTTCATTAGTAGTATTTTTATAATTCATATCAGCATTCTTATTTCCTCCACAGACTACACGGTTTTGTGCACAAAAACCTTTTAGTAATACATGAAGTACTTTTAGTCATTAGGAAACCGGTTATTTATCTCTATTGACTGTCAAAGAATTTCCTTCATCAGTAATACGACTGCATTTGTACAATATTCTCCTATCGACTACAACAGCAGAAAAACAACTCCCTCTTCAGACAACTTGAAGGCACTCTGATCTAATGATCATGCAATTTGCCCCATTCCAAACGCAACCCTCCCTGCTCGCTTGGGGTCTGGAGCAGCATTGCTGTTCCAGGCTTAATTACTGGGCACCCTCTAGTGGCTATCGAATAAAATTCATATTTTCCTGGTAAAGAGCACATACAGGTCTGCCTTGGAGAAAGGGAAGGGCAGGAAAGAAAACAAGCCAAAGTAATCAAAGTAATTACAAATGACTTTAAAAGAGTAAAGATTCCATTTTCTGTAAAATAACATTTCATTTTCAAATGTTAGCAATATTCACTGAGATATGAATACTCACCATTAACTTTTTGAGTATTCGAATCAGTTATAAATGATATTCTGCTCAGTTAGAGGGATTTAATTACTCAGCCTGTCTACATACATTTCAGAAGTCCAAGAAGATAAGAGAAAAGATTGTAACAAACATTTCAAAAAGAAAGTTCTGACTGCTGGCAATGATTTATACAAGTTTACATTAAATGAACCAAAATAATGCAGTACCTTACAAAAGGCCAGCTCTTATTAAAGTCATTGCATTGGGAGGTGTAAAATTCTGCATGTACATAAGCGGTTCCTGGACCACACCAAAGTTTCAAAAAAAAAAACCAAACAAACAAAAACAAAACGAACTTAACCTTCTTTTCAACAATGAGGTGCTGAGGTAGGTTATCCCAACACTTACTAGAGCAGTGAAAATGCTTTCTATTTACTGATTGCAGATTCCTGCAAGTATACATGTGGCTTCATAAAAACTATACAAAATCAAATCGTACAAGTAGAATTTACAGCCAAAAGACTTACCCAGAATGACTTGAAGAAGGAGGAGGCAGGTCAGGTGTTAAAACATAAAGACTATTATTTTTTGGCAAGTGTAGAGTTTTTAAAACAGTCTGAGGGGAGAAAAAAACCATTATAAATATGAATAACATTAAAAAACATTATAAATATGAATATGAATATCACCAATTCTGATGTATTATTTTATTTCTTTCAATTATTGATACTTATTTACAATACCACTAAATATTTTGTTTCGAGATACTTCATAACATTCTTTTCATAGGTGGGCCATGTAATACATAAAAGCAGTAAAAACTGATTTGTCCTGATTTTTTCTGCAATGTTTTAAAGAGTTCCTTGTATGCCACCCAAGACATCTAACGCTGTTTGAAATTCACAATTCTTGCATTGTAATCCCCACCCACAGATGCTCAGTTTGAAACTCTGAATTCAGTTAATTGAAAACACAGCTGAAAACTTACACTATCATCTACATCTCCAGTCTTCCACCCTTTTAACAGCATTTTGGATGCAGGAATCTGAAGTTCATTTTCTAGAATATGTTTGATATCTCCTAAAGAGAAAACAAAGAAAATATATAGAACATACATACTTACTGCTTTATTTCAAAGAGCACTGAGTTATAGTTAACAAATAAAAGCAAGGAAAAATTTACTATGAAAACCATTTTTACTCTAGTTACCCTTGCAACATACACTTCAAACAGTAGAAGACAAATGAAGCTTAAAAAAATTAAATCACATAAAACATGAATGATTGGAGAATCACATTTGATAATTTGGACATAAATTTGAATAGTCCTACACTGCTTATGCTAGACACACACATCCACAGATGCATGCTATCTGGAGCAACGCATTTTGCCAGCAATAAAGAGGGTGCATATTTTTGATACCCAATTCCATTATCAATAATCCTGACCTAAAGAACTGCAGTGTTCATAAAATTTGGCTGCTCTGACAGCTTTTTCAACCATTTGCACATTTCAATGCTGTCCTCTCCCTGTAGTTATTACAGTCATAAAATAACTCAGGCTGGAAGTACCTCCTCAGGAGGTCATCTAGCCCAAGCCCAGCTCAAATGTCTAATTAAATCAGCTTAGTTGAGGATTTGTCCAGCTGACTGTTGAATACCTCTAAGGATGGAAGTCTGACACCTACTCTGGCCAGCCTGTTCCAGTACTTCACCACTCTCACAACTTAAAAAACAAACAAACACACAAACAAAAAAAAAACAACAACCAAAACCACACAGCAAACAATAAATCCTTATATCTAATGGAAATTTTTTATTGTTGCAAATTGCGTCCATTGCCTCTCATCCAATTATCGTGCACCTCCAACAAAAGTCTGGCTCCATCTCCCCTGTGTCCTCCCATACAGTAGCTGTAGACAGAGGTAAGGTCTCTACCTCTCCCCTTCCCTTCCCCAGGCTGAACAAATCCAGTTCTCTGTGCCTCTCCTCACGTGTTGCCATGTGCTCCAGTCCCCTCAATATCTTGCTGGCCTCTGCTGGACTCACTGCAGAATGTCAACAGTTCCTCTCATACTGGGGATCTCAAAACTGGATGCAGTGCTCCAGATGCAGTCTTGTAAGCACTGAATAGAGGGGAATAACTATTTCCCCGGATCCCTTGGCTACACTTTTGCTAACACAGCCTAGGACATGACTGCCCACCTTCACTGCAAGGGTGCACAGCTGATGCACCCCTAGATCCCTTTTTTTGCAAAGTTGCTTTCCAGCCAGCTATCAGATGGGATAACATGGAGTTATCCTATCCCAGATGCAGGACTTCCACTTTGCTCTCTTTGAGCTTCATGAGGCTCCTGACAGCAGATTTCTCCAGGCTGTCCAGGGCCCTTTAAACAGCAGGCTTGCACTCCAGCATATCAGCCACTTTCTCTCATCTGGTATTCTTTGTGAACTTGCCAAGAACGTTCACCTTAATGACCAGGTTTTTAATAAAGACATTAAGCAACGATGGCTCCAGGATCAACCCGAGGGACATCCCTAAACTAGTAACTGTTCAGCAGCCAGACTTTGAGCCCAGCAGTCCAGGCAATTATCTACCTACCTTATCAGCTCACTTATCTAGTCCTTATGACAATAAGAATACTACAGCAGAGTATGTCAAAGGCCTTAGTAAAGTCAAAGTGACATCTGCTGTTCTGCCCTTGTCCACAGGACTTAGTAAAGTCAAAGTGACATCTGCTGTTCTCCCCTTGTCCACGGGGCCAGTCATCAAATCATAAAAGACAAGTCACATTGATTAGACACAATTTGCCCTTAGCAAATCTGTGCTGGCAGTTCCAAATTGCCTTCTTTCCTTTCCGCAAATCATAAAAGACAAGTCACATTGATTAGATGCAATTTGCCCTTAGCAAATCTGTGCTGGCAGCTCCAAATCGCCTTCTTTCCTTTCCTGTGCTCAGAAAGAGCTTCCAGAAAGATTTGCTCCATAATCTTCCCACAGACCAAGTTCAGCAATCGCCATTTAACAGTGAGCTCATATTTTTCTTAGCCTTTCTTTTCATGCTGATGTACTTACAGAAGCCCTTCTAATCTCTCAGTCGTTTCAGCTCCACCTGAGCTCTGGTCTTCCTAATTCCAAACCTGCATCCTCTGGCAACACCTCTGTGTTCCTCCTGAGAAGCCCATCACTACCTTCCACCTTCTGTGTACTTTCTTTTCGCATTTAGCTTAGTCAGAAATTCTTTGTTCTTCTGTGCTGGCCTTCTGCCATCCTTGCTCCTCTTTCTGCATGTTGGAAGGGACTGTTCTTGAGCTTTAGAGAGGTTGTCCTTGAAGATCAAACAGCTCTTAGGCCCCTTTGCCCTCAGGGCAGTCTCTCATGGGATCAGACAGATCCCTGAAAAAGCCAATAATCTTCTCTCCTAAAGTCCACAACTGAAATTCTATTATTGCCTTGGTCACTTCTCTCAGCATTTTAAACACAAGGCTGCCCTCAATCTTCATATGCCAAGACACAGACAAAAAAGTTTTACACTGACTGCTTCTGCCCTACAGCTTAATCATTTCTACCTGAAAGAAGTTAATACGAAAAAAATAAAACACTACGGCTGCAAAAGTCTGATCAAATCAGACTTTTTTTTTATCTGCTGTGCATGGATGCAACTCAGTGCTGTGGAAAACGTGAAACACTAATCGGGAATTCAAACTAATCACCACTAGGTGGCACCAGCCAATACCAAATCGAATGCTGAAACAACTCAAAAGTTTCAATATCAAAATATCATCACAGACAAAAGGCTGCAGCAGGGAAAATTATTTTAATCAACTATTTCTTCATTTAGTTCCTTATTTTGATCTGTATAGAGTCTTCACTTAAAAAAAAATAATCAAAAAACCACGAAATAACTTCTTCATCCTTACCAAAAGTAAATTAACTCACAGTTTGGGGAATGTAAAAAATAACATGCTCTGCAATACTAACAATAGCATACTTCTAACATACTGTTACAAAATGCATCAGTTTTAGGATAAAGACAATAAACTTACAAAAGAAATCTTAATTTGCACAAACAAATCAAGTAAAAATTGAAAAAAAGAAGAATGCAACAATGCTCTTCACATCGGAAAGAATTCCTCTAAATCTTGTCACTAATCCTACACGGAAGAGGATGCCATACAGATTGGAAAAGGAAATGTCAAGATCATCCGCTTATTAGTAGATTGCATCTGTACTAATCCTTCCCCAAATTACATTTTCATGCCTCAACTTAATCAGTAATCTCAATTTTGTTTCTGAAGCAAGTTCATAAGAAAACTGGATTTCAAAATAAATATTTCATAAATCACTAACCTTTACAATGGATTAGTGAAATTTTACTTTTTTTAAAGCTGCAAAGAGATTTGAAACTGGTTAGTAGCTGTGGAGGCTGTATTTTCAGGGGGGATTTTTTTTCTTCTTTGAGGAGTTTTGTTTTGCTTTGCCTTTTTTGGGGATTTGGATTTTTGGAGTTGGGTCTTGTTTGTTTGTTTTAACAATTTTACCACAACAGTTTTCACTTCATTTCTACAAATCCTTACCAACTGTGGAGCTGTCTTCAAGTACTACATCCACATTTCTGTCTCTGTACTCAACCCTGAAGTCAAGCATTCGAGGTTGTCTTTCCACTATTTGTCTAGATGGCACTACATGGCGAAATGCTGAGGATGAGGAAGGAGTTGAAGAAGCTGCTGTAGAATGACTTGTGGGGCCATACGCTGGTCCATGTAAAGTCTCTCCACCGTACTCACTGAAAGATATGCACATAAGAAGCTTTAAATAGCACAGCTCAATATGTTTAAATGAAAGTTAGCAAAGCAAAATGAACAGTATTATTCACTTACTGCGGTCCACAGCACACACCTCTTGAATAAGCTACACTGTCATATCTGAAAATACTGTTTTATTAATAATTAGCAAATAGCTTTCATATCAGCAATATTAACATTTCGGAGACTCGGAAGTGCTATAGGAGAACAGCTTAGATGACAAACCAGCATTTAAGCTATGATATCATTCTAAAGTTTACTATGTAATTAATGTGAGAATTATCTTGATAAGAAGGATTATTTCCTGTTCCAGCAGTGTTGTGACCATATAAAAATTGTCACCATGGCAACAACCAGCTTTCTGCATCATTGGGCTTGTATCCCATAGAAATGAAAATAAGAAACAAGGCTTAAAATACTGCACATGTATTGGTATTTCCCAATACCAAATTAGTGGAAAACAAGTCAGATATGAAAATAGTTATGTACTTACAGTAAATAAAATAAAATAATGAGGTATGTATTGCAAAAAAAACGTATACGTAGAAGTACAACAGTAATGCAACGTGGAATTTTAGCTTGCCTTTAAGTTCAAAACCCTTCAACCCCTCTGGACATTCACATAAGGATGTTTCCATACCTGGCTCAAGGATATATACAGCATTACAGGTCAGAATAAATGGGAAAACCCTCACTACCCAGAAGCACTTCATCTTCCTCAGTAAGCCTGTCCACAAGAAGCTTGTAATTTGGATTAGAAACAAAGGTAGCAAAACATGACATTTAAGGAACAGTACTGAGGCAAAAAAAAAATCCCCCAAACCTATGAGGTACAGAAATTAAATCTAGAACACAAACAACTTCACAGGGCAAGCCTAGAGCTTTGTCTTAGAGATGTTCTGATCAGCAGGATTATCATACATGCTGGGCAGTTACAGGATATCATGATGGAGGATGCAAGGTAATAAAACATATGCACTGAAAGGATGGAAGCTGAGCAAAGAAGGATTTAAGAAATGCTGAGATGTAAGTTGCTTCATTTCCATTCTAAACAGAACTTATTTTAAAAAGCATCCCGCCCTTCTTGAAGGTATCATGAGATCTCTCAATGGAAATGCTTCTTATAGCAAGTCAAGTCTGTCATCTAGAGGAGGCCAGGACTTAAAAAAAGCATAAATTTGGATGGCATGCATGTCACAGAAGTGCAGAAATTATACATAGCTATTGCAAATCCCCATCATCATCGTGCCTTCCAAATTTGAAAAAGAAAATCATGTTATCCTTGTAAAATAAGGAGCTCCTTCACTTCTCACATCAGCAGGCTTAGAAGGATGAATTCCCAGCTACAAAGACCCATACTCAAAGATCCATACTCAAAGGTCAAAGCATGATTTCAGAGGTCTAAAGAGTATGGGAAACAGTTTTATACTTTAAATCCTGAAAATAAAACTGAGTGATATGTTACTGTCTTAAATCTGATGGCCAACTATGAATTAAGTCCTATAAACATTTTGTTAACAGATCCAAGAAGCAATGAATATCCTGATTATCAGGACTGGATTGATTTATTTAAACAGCAAAACTGAATTATGAAACAAAACGGTGGGGCTTTTTCCCTTCAATAACTTAACTTACTTCAAGTCCAGTTGTATTAATTCTATTTGATTCCACCACAAAAGGCATCCTACATATCTGACTGGCAACCTCTAATGGAACATAAAAAGCCTCACATCAGTAAGCCTCATCTGAAACCCATTGGAAACTAGGCTTCTAAGTCTTCTGAGCCTCCTTTTAAACCACTTCCAGTGGAAGAAAAAAAAAAATAAGTATTTGAGACACATTCAACTGACCAATCATTTCTAAAAATGAATAAATTAGCATGGAAGAAAGCTGGAAGTGGACACTGGACCAGCTTGTTATCCAAGTCAGGCATAACTATTCCCCAGCTCCTTTCCCCTGACCAAACGGTTCCAAACATTCTGGTATTTTGAATATAAATACTTTGAGATCAAGACTTATTACCATAGGTAGAAAGAATGCTCAACACAACCGAGACTTGATCTCAAACAGACTAGGTAGGCCTTATGGTAAATAAACATCTTGTAACTTTACTGAGCAAATAAGGTTTTACCCTGAATCAAAACTGACTCTATTTAACAATAGCTTTAGTAAGTATTGACAGAGATGCCAAAACACCACTTTACCTACATTAAGTATCTTTTTTCATCACTAAAATAAACTTTTTATAGTACATGGAGTATTTTTCTAAACAAAATTTTAAACACTATTTTACTGTCTCTCTCAAGTAGCTCAATTCCTGTTCTGGTGTTTTCAATTGCCTCATCAGCACTTAGGACCTCATGCTTCAGTGACTTCAAGATATCCAGGCATCAGTATACAAGCCAAAATTTAATTCAGAAGCTGAAAGAAAATCAGTAAAGCTACTTTTAGAAGGGAGCAACCTTACTTTATCTAGCACAGTATCTGCTGCTTCAATTAAAAAAAACAAACAAACAAACAACAACCACCTACAAAAATACAAACATTTTTGGCTGGGGACAGGGAAGCATGGAATATCAATACCTTTAAAAATGCAAAAGGAAAAAGAAAATACATAGCCGGGAACATCTGTGGATTTGCCTTGCAAATTTTTGTATCTTTGCAAAAAAAATAAAACCAAGTCCTGACACCCAAGAAGGCATACCAAAATCCAGACTATGTAGAGAGACAACCCTGCACAAAATGACCCAACAACCAATGAAGTCAAAACAAAAATTAAGTGATTTGAATAGGGGGTCGAGCTGGTCCTCCATCAGTGCAGGAAAAATTGAACATTAAATTAGCTCTGCCAGGAATTGAACTTGTGGCTCCAGAAACTGCTTTAAGAGGAGAATTACATCATCATCTTAGGAATTAGGAACAAAAAATGTAACTATTACCCAGCATCATTGTCTGTGTGTACTACTCCAGCCTTCTGTGCTTACCTTTGTAGAATGCCATTTTCTTGTGGTATTACACCATTTATAGCTGCCTGAAAAGAGAAAACAAGTTTTGAGTCAAGCATACAGAGCAACAAAAATAAATCAGAACTTTTATAATATGTTTTAAAGAGTGATTAGCTTGCTATAAAATATGCCATAAAATAATTCTCCATTCAGTGAACATCCTTGGTAAAATTAAAGTACCTGCATAAAACAAAAACCATATCTAAGTGAAAACAAACATGAACTGAAGCTCAGACTCCTATATGCGCACGATGGATTTCCCAGGTGGAATGCATGGGAATAAACTGCATGGCCCATGCTCAGTAAATCTAACACTGTACGCTTGGTACATACACATGGTGAACATATTGCTTTCAAACACATTGAGCTAACTGTGCACAGACGAGGCAGTCAGACAGCACGTACACAGAAAATCTAATGTTTCCCACCAGCATCAGACCTGCACAAACCTATAAACCTGCACAACCACCGCATGTTGCAAGCCTGATGGGTTCAGGAATTGCTGAAGTCGGCGCAAACAGCTACTCAACAACACGCGTGCCTCCGTCACACCTACGTCTTCTAGACAACCTGCTTCTGGCTCACACACACAAATACCATCTAGCCTCTTAAGAGTCCTCATGTGCCAGGGAATCACAGAAGTTACTACCACCCAAAATTCAAACAATCTTTAAGTAGAAAAGGAAGTATTTTTAAGTAAGGTTTATGCAGTCAAATGTTAAGTATTAAATATCATCCCATCCAAAATCATGAAAATAAACAAAGTATTACTTATAGGTGTGTAAGTACAAACATGGCAAGCTGCTTTCAGATTTGGTCTTATTTGAAATTACAGAGTTATTACCCATAAAAATATCCTAATGAATTCTATCTCATATTAAAATGCATTATCTGGAGTGGCTGAGGGAACTGGGATTGTTTGGACTGAAGAACAGGAGGCTGAGGGGAGACGTTACCACTCTCTATGACCACCTGAAAGGAGGTTGTAGCCAGATGGGTGTTGGTCTCTTCTCCCTAATAACAAGCAATAGGACAAGAGGAAATGGCCTCAAGTTGCACTAAGGGAGGTTTAGATTGGATATCAGGAAAAATTTCGTCACCAAAAGTTTTCAAGCATTGGAACAGGCTGCCCAGGGAAATGGTGGAGTCACCATCCCTGGAGGTATTTAAAAGATGTGTAGATGTGCAGCTTATGGACATGGTTTAGTGGTGGACTTGGCAGTGCTAAGTTAATGGTTAGACTTGATGAGCTTAAAGGTCTTTTCCAACCTAAACGATTCTATGAGTCTATAATTTTTCAAATAGCCACAATATACCCCAGTTGCAAGTTCAAAACCCCACTTCTAACAAAATTATCTTCACAGCCTATGACAGCGTTGCTCTAATCTATGTTGCAGAAAGTTTTAATGCATTTCCAGCACATCTGATGCTATATAAGTTTGTATAAACTTTGAAATTATATGTAAATCAGGATGAAGGAAAAACTTGGAAAGCAAGTAAGATTCTCTTCAACAGTATTTAGAAGACAACTTATTTCAGACTGCTTTATACCACCAAGAAAGTGTTTTAAAATCATCTCATTGCTAGGATTTTTCAGATTTGAGGGGCACTGAAAGTGATAGCATATGAGCTGGTGAAAGTGACTTACACATTTTACTCCTCAGCTGATTAAACTTTGTGCTGATTATTGTTAGAAGATATGGGAGTAAAGATGTCAGAACCCTACCTAACTTCAGCCTCTTAGTCTGCCCACTGCCGGGCTAGGATTAAGGTGGAATAGCACAGAAGGGAATTTGACAAGGAATGAGAAAGAATTTAAAAAAAAAAAAATCTAGAGAGGAGAAAAAACAGACCTCAAAAGACTAATTCTATTTCTGCTCTTTGATGATCTTTATTGTGTTCACAAGTACATATTTATTAGGCTTAACAGTGAGATTAAAGAGAGCTTGTAGCATCCCACTAATCTCCATTTTCTGCTGTACCAGCAGCGATTCATGCGTTTCTACTATCACAACTTTTAATATCCATTCTCATATGTCAGATATACCTGACCTGTTGGCCCGAATACCTGGTGAATGAGCATCTGTCCCTGATGAACACAGTAACACTGACATTCAGCAGCTCATAGATTCCCTGGTACTCCAGGAGGATCAAGTCAAATACTGCAACTGAACTATGGACAGTCATCATCTACCAACACAATTTTTACAAATTGACATTAAAAATGCACCTTAAGTGCTTAATAAACACAAATCTTGATACAATCTAATTTTAAATGCTATGCTTTCTTTTTCTATGAATATAGAAGCATGAATTTTTACAATTTCCATTAATGGGTAAGGCTACATAAAGTCAAAAAGAATTTCTGCTGAACACAACTAAGTAACTATGATTGTGCAGTAAGATTTATCATGTATTTAGACACAAATATTGCATAAATAATAGGGGGAAAAAAGGTAGACAAGGAAAAGGGTCACAGGTATCTGTGAGCTACAGCAACGACCCATAAGGCTGTACCAAATTACACTGAAAACAAAGCTTCCTACCAGATCAGTTTATCCAGTGCATGGCAGTAATTGGTGCTTTCTTTTTTAACAACGTGTCTCATTTATCATCATTGTGGGTTTTGCAGTCACACATAGCTCTCAATCATGTTCATCTAATCAACCTCCAAGAAAAAGTGGGAGGTTTTGGGTTGTTTGTTTTTTTCTGGATTGTTCCCACACACACACTCTTCAGTAACATACATTTCATTCCCATTAATCAACACGTAAAGTTGATTGAAAGATAAAAATATCCTCTATTTTGCATCTGTAGGATACACGGTACCACAGGGCCAACACTAATAATAATCTGCTGGTGCAACGGAATTCTCTTTACTCTAAGAAAAAGAAGATGCTTCAGCTGTGAAGAAATATAGCACAGCGTGCCACTTCCACACTTTTTCTGTCAAAGCTCGTGTCTCGGGCTCAGAGGATTAAATCAGCTCAAACCTTCTCTAAGCCTAGTTAGAGGGGTTAAATACGATAGAGGCTCCAAGCTATTTTCTTTAAAACTGAATAACTGACTTGTTCACATCGCCAGTTTTGTAAACTTGATGACATTTAACGGGCACAGCAGTAAGAAAAAAAAAACAGCAGCAGCATTATGTACTTTTTTGATGGAAAGACCTCTATTAACCACACTGTAAAAATAAAGAGTCTGGACACTGTTTGTTAAGCAAGATGGAAGACTAAAATTATGTAGACGGCAAATGGTAGCAGTGCACATGTAGATATTGCATAAATATTAAATACTCATGTTCTTACAAGACATCTATAAGTAGACTCTGCAAAGAAAATAAGAAAAAGGAACAACCATCTGCTTTAGAATTTCATAGGAGCAAGGTTGTGACTATATTAAAAAAAAAAAAAAAAAAAGAACAAGTTATTAAGGCACGATCTGTTCCAGGCTGCTCTTCCCCAGTGTCAGTCCCCTTTGAGAGAGGATCAGGTCTCTATGGTTAAACAAACATTCAAAGATATTAAATTTTTTTTCTTTCCAAACAGGGATCGTTTGATCATCAAAACCAGGCTGGGTGACCAATATACAGTAATTAAAAAGATGTATTACCCTTGAAACAATTTTTAATAACAAGTGCATGAAAACTATTCATGGGTTATTAAATATAAGGATACCACGTCTGGCTCAGAAAATTTCTTCAGCTTCCAATAACCTGTTGCTGAGAGCGCTACCAAGGAAATAGCACCCCATGCTTATGCTGTTCTCACACTGTATATCCACGACTGTCGCTGCTGGATACGGGGTACCACAGCTCCGACAGGTATTCGCCTGTTCTAATGCTATCACTATTTAAAGACTGAAGCTCACCTTAAGTGGAAAACTATAAGGTTTTTATAAGATTTTTTTTTTCCCCCAAAGCCAAGAACCTTAGGTGTGTTTCAATGCTACCCATACACAAACTCTACTGCAACACTGTTCAAACCCGGAACAGAGGAATAGAAGCAAGGATATAATTACTGGTTTGACGATAATATTCAAACAACCAGACCCACATCTCATTTTAAGAAATTATAAGCCAAATTTAGTTATACTTGATTTATACACTTTGGAGATATCCAGGAATTAAAACAGTTTATTTAAGAATTTATTAAGCCCTGCATGACCTGATCTAATTGGAACTGCTTTTGACCAGACCAACATCCAGAAGTAACTTCCAATCTCAAGTGTTCTATGACTCCATCATCCAACAATATAGGATATATCGATAAACAGTACCGAGAATCCTGTTCATTTAAATGAATGGGAAGACAGGAATACCGGACCAAGGAGTGCCAATTACAAAGGTTCAAAGTAACAATACTTTTTTTGGTGTTCGTTTCAGCAGCAAGCTTCCAGTATCAAAATATATTAAATCAAATTTTTTTGCTGTTTCCCGCAAACATAGAAAACAATAAAGCAATAGGGTTAATAAAAGGTTAATGAATAAATTAATAGTTTGGGCAATCCAGAAACTCTGCGCTGTTCTACAAACAGATTGAAATTCTTCAAGTGTCTGAAGAACGTTGTGAAACAGACTGTGAAATTTAAAGCTTTTCCTCAAGGGAATATTAACTTAAATAGATTAGTCAGTTCTGACTAAATGTGACTGTCTCTTATGAGTACAAAACAGTGTTAGAAAGAAAAACAAGAGCCACCATTTCTTAATAACCAGATTAAGCAACAATGTTGATGACTTCTCTCAAAACACACAATTACAGTACTAACCATTTAAAAGCAATTAAGCACATCTCACAGTGACTCTCATCCCAGGGGAATGAGGGTCCTATGAATAATCATGAACAGACTATGGTATTTTAGATCATACGAACATTAAATTTCCAAGTTTTAAAATACTCAGTAGTTATCACCAAGTTTGAAGACAGACTGGATTTGCCAATCACATTATTTAAAAGCAGAGGTGTTCATATACTGATTGGATATTCAAATGAGGTGGGGAATTCCTTCCTCTTCATGAACTACAGAT